AGCACATGATGCATCTGGCCCGTGGGGCAGGAGTTTGACAGCCCTGGCTTAGACGTATGCTGTGGTCCTTGGAATTGCTCCATTTTACTCTAGTAATAAAATTGGATTTCCATACAATGAATGAGCATTTTTTCTCTCAATTTTGCTATCCAGAAATCTGTAGTAATATATTTGTAAAAATAAACCTTTTTTTTTTAAACAAAGCCAATTCTATGCCAATAGAATTTGAATCATAAAATACTGTACCAATATAGAATAGCAAATTCATTTTATGCAGTCATATAATAGCTTATAAGCTCATTCTACATTTTATTACCAAATGCCTGCCTCTTCTCTGCTGATTAATACATTTTAAACTGAAAATATAAGGAGTCCAGATTCGAAAAATGACCTGTGTTATAATAAACATATAATGTACCATTTGCACTTAATACAATTCCGTAGAGAACATAGCAAGCAATTATAACTGGTATCATCAATGCCTAGGTAGCATTATCACCTCAGTTGCATAAAAGTGCTGATCCTGAACTAATAAAAATGCTAAATATTTACAAAGCTGCAGACAACCAAATATGATTTAAATTGGCTTTAAACCAGTTTGGCTCTCTGGACTTTGTAAATGAAAAGTATGCTTTTGGAATAAATTGAGTAGAAGACCAAATTATGAGAGACGTGACTGATCAGGGTAAAAAAAATCTTAACAGTTATTAAACACAGCAGCATAATTTACCTCAAATAATTTTCTCTGTGTTTTTAGACACAGTTGTTTTTACACATTGTGCTAAATTATGCTTTGTTTTAATCATTTTCTAGCAGTCATCATAGTGGCCTATTTCATATATGTTGCATTGTAAACCAGACTTTACAAACCATGTTATAATTATGTGTTCTATTGTAATTTCTTGTTTTGTTTGCTTTGGCTTAGCACAATATTTAAACCCAGTAGCAAACTAAGTTAAATCAAGGGTTACTATTGGGAGAATATACTAAATATTCATATGCTTGTGTCTTGATTAATTACTTCTCTCCACATTTCTAAAGTTTCCTGTTTTGTTTGAATTCCTATGACTAAAACTTGGTTTGTAAACTAAGCTATAACAGCAGGATCTGCTCTTGAGTATTTCATAGGTAACAATGTTAGCTAGCTAGTTGGTTGTGGAAGAATGAGCTCAAGGGTTGATATTGATGACTCTCAGCTAGGTGGTGGGGAAAATCCTATCCTGCATGACTAATGTTTTAATAGATCTATAAAAGCAATTGGAAAGAGAGGCTATTTCTACAGACTAGCTTTCTGCAATTCTCATTAGCAAATTGCATGGTTTTCTTTCTTGCCTTTAGCCATGCAGAGAATATGGGTTTGTGCTTGTAAACCAACATTTTTGCTTTGAGTGATTCCAGTGACTTTTGATAACAGTATTCTGTTTTATAGCTGGTCTCCTGAGAATTGTATATGGAAAATAGACCATAAAGGAGGTGGAACACTTTAAGAAAGATGATGTAAGTTTCAGTCTGCAGGGTATCTAATGATCTGAAAGCAGACTTATTTATGATGCTCCCTCTTGAGAATTGTGAAGCAGGCTATCACAATATATCTTTTAAGTTTACACAATCATGGCATTTAGGTGCTACAGCCTTCAGACAATTGATGAAGAATCGAGAAGCTTCAAGCAATTTGCAGGATTTAGGTTTGGCTAATCTAAAGAAAAGAAGAATTAGGGGTGACATGATAGCAGTAGTCTAGTATTTGAGGGGCTGCCACAAAGAAGAAGGGGTCAAATTATTCTTCAAAGCACCAGAGGGCAGGACAAGAAACAATGGTTGGAAACTAATCAATGAGAGAAGCAACCTGGAATTAAGAAACTTCCTAACAATCAAGACAATTAACCAGTGGAACAGCTTACCTCCAGAAATCATGGGCACTCCCATCACTGGATGTTTTTAAGAAAAGTCTAGATAGCCACTTATCTGAAATAGTATAGGGTCTCCCGCTTGAGTAGGGGGATGGACTAGAAGACCTCCAAGGTCCCTTCCAGTTCATTTATTCTATTTCATTTTAGTTTTCAATAAGTGATATTGTACACAGACCTCAGAACCACAAATTAGCCAGTCCCATTTTAACCTAGCTTGTAGTTTGCTATAGTTTAAAGTGTGCTGAGCAAACTTTGTCAGTTGGGCTGAATAAACCATACATAAGATAATATAGTTAAGCTTGTACTGCAGACATTGTCATAAGCTGCAAAGCTGCAAAGTATTTGATAATTAATCATGCTTTGTGCTGCAGCAGACTCAAGCTTACTTTTATTTATTTAAAGAACTTATAGAACTCACCCATCTCAATTTAGTCTCTGTGTGCCTAACAGTGCATAAAACATAAAATAATGTAATATAAAAGGCAGGGGAAAATATACAGCCAGTTGATACAGCCTTGTCCTATATAATACCCTCCAGTGACATTGGTCTGCAATTCCATTTTGCAGCCACCATAAAATTTATGGTCTTAACACACATCAAATTAGAGAAGATTGGTTTGAAGATTTGTCACATCGCCTCTTTGTTTTTTAGCTGCAAAATGAATCACAGAAACTCCAGTCCATTTTTCTGTTTATAGCAGTTCCCAGTCAACACCCATATTTCTCAAATGGAGAAATAATTCTAATAATTCTACCAGGCCTTGGGGATGAGGTGGTGGATCTCCTTTTATTACAGCTGTTATGGTTGATACAATCTGTTATTGGCTGTAGTTGGTGTTCTTTCTGCCGATTGTATTTATTTTCATATGTATGGTTTTTATTTGCAAAATTTGATAAATAGAATGAATTTATTCATAATTATTTAAAATTATATGTAATATTTTTATTACTCAAAATAATTATATAATTTATTTCTCAAAAATACTTAATATGTGAATAATGCTTGGAGCCATTACAACACAGGTGTCAAACTTGCAGCATCACATTGTCATCATGTGACATTTTGTGAAGTTTTCCTTATTTGCAGAGCTGGGATGGGCGTGGCCTGCACATGACACATCTGGCCTGAGGGCCGCCAGTTTGACACCCCTGTTACAGTCTTCTGGTTCCAGAATCAGCATAGGTCAATTAACCTTAGTTCGCTCTCTCTGCCTTTCTCATTAGCTCTTGCAGAAGGGAAGAATTGTAACTTGGTATGCATTGCTCAGGGGAAAAAAATCTTCCTATCATTATTGTAAAAAAGTTTTCAGTTCATTTGTGGTTTCTGGCAGTCTTCTGGTAATATTCCGACACTAATTATTTAATATTAGAACAAATGTGCTTCATTTGGATAAAGGGTAGATTATGTCCCTGTCTCTATTTTTAAAAAAAAGTTTAACTGTTAATTATCATACATTTTCCTCATTGTTTTAGCTTTACATAGCCTGAATACATTCTGAACCAGTTTGCCTCTATCTGGGACATTATGTTTTTAAGCCTTAAAGAGGTTCAATTCTTTTGTAGCTTTACTAAGGAAAGTCTGTATTTTGTGTAAGGAATTTCTTGACGTGTGAGAAAAAACATTTTACAGGGAAATAATAGGGAGAAGATAAACATTTTTCAGCTCTACAAAAGGCATATCTTTACATATTCTACCAATTTTTTTATATCCCATCATTATGATGAAAAAGGACTGCTCACTCTGGATTAACTATCACAGACCTTTGGTGGTGAGAGTCTGTGTCTGAATTTAAAATGTTTTTTAATATTTGATTGGGAGCCACCAAAAGCTTCCTGAAAAATGGGTGGCTATATAAATGTTTTGAATAAAACAATAAATAATTAAAATCCTAAATAGGTACCATAGTACCCAAGTTTGCATTGGATTCCCTTATTTGTGATAACAAAATCCGTTCATAGAAAATTGACAATTGTATTGATCCCAGTGCTATCTCAAAAGTATAAAAACATGGTTACTAAATAATCCTATTTAAACAGTGTTTCCTCTATATTATTTGTCTTATTCTTTCATTAATTCCAAAATATCCATCCTCAGGGATGATAGAAAAAGTATAAAGTTGTTATAGCATATAAAAACTGATGGAATTGACATACAGGAGGTGAAATAAACACAGTTCTTTTAAATGTGGCATTTAAAGATTGCACGCAGCCTAATCAGGTTGGAAAATTTTCTACCTACCATTTGCTTATTATTTTTGAACAAATGTACGGAAAAATAAATCCATGTTTCTGGTAGCTTGATTTAATCATGTGGTAGCAGCTGAATCATATTTCAGCTTTATGCATTCACTTTGCTTTGATTTTCAAGGCCTACTCCATTTAATACATTGTAACTCATAAATATGAATCAGACAGAGTTCTCTAGAGGACCTATTTATTTCTGAAGCCTCTCAAATTACTTCTAACATTATCTATCTAACTCAGTTCTGGAAATTTGTTTTCAGATGCAAACCATGCAGGCAGTAATCTATTTAGAAAAATTCAGGGAGACTCATGGAAAAATCAGAAAATTGGACTCATGTGTTTGAGTTTTTTTTATAAATACATAATGTTATTGCATGTAATTACACTTGCAGTGATTCTTTGATACCCATATGATTAAGTTGTTTGATTCATGCTAGCTGATGCTATAATTTGATATCAAGTTTCCCCTTTCTGTTCCCTAATTAATTTTTCTTTTAATGATGAAACTATTAATAGACACATACAGAAAAACCATCTTGAGTTGTTACTTTATTGGATATAGCAGAAACCCCCTCCCCTTTACCATCTCTTCATTTGTTTATCATTATACCATGCTAATATGGGTATATTAACCCTATATTTACATTTTTCCGGTTGGATTTACATCAGCACTGAAGAACTCATGAATTTCCTGATACTGAATTCTAAGTTCAGCAATTTCTGATGATTGGTCAAGAAAGATGAGGTTGATAGGAGATGGA